GGGAGTGCTCTCCTGCAACTCCCACTTAGGGGTGCTTAGACCATCGACCCCTGAAGGGAGTGCTCGCCTGTGACTCCCACTTAGGGGTGCTTAGACCATCAACCCGCGAAGGGAGTGCTCGCCTGTGACTCCCACTTAGGGGTGCTTAGACCATCGACCCCTGAAGGGAGTGCTCACCTGCGACTCCCACTTAGGGGTGCTTAGACCATTGACCCCTGAAGGGAGTGCTCACCTGCGACTCCCACTTAGAGGTGCTTAGACCATCGACCCCTGAAGGGAGTGCTCGCCTGTGACTCCCACTTAGAGGTGCTTAGACCATTGACCCGGAAAGGAGTGCTCACCTGCGTCTCCCACATAGAGGTGCAAATACCTGCAACCCGAGAAAAAGTGATCACTTGCTACTCTTGCTTGGGGGTTCAAAAATCCTGATCCGCAAAGAGAGTGCCCACCTGCAACTCCGGCCTAGGGATGCAATGAGGCCATATGCCCCAAGGGCACTTGGGGAGGGCCTGGCAGCAAATTTTTAAAGGGGAATGCCTGGATTCCTCTAATTTGGGCCTCCTTTTGCAGTTCTGGTGTTCTGGAACCAGATTGAGATGAAGACTGAGTAGAGAAGAGGAACTGGGCTCAAGGAGCAATGGAGGGGAAGCTCACCCAACCACAGTTGCCAATTACTTGCCATGTGGCCTTAATTTGGATGTCTCAGTGGTCACCTTGGTGGATCCTCTCACTTCTGAAGAGATAGAGCGATAGAGGAGAATGAGAAAAGATCGAGGGGAGAAAAGCTTTGGGTTCTGTGGGCTCCTTCATGGCAGCATCAACTGCCACCTAAGGGCTACTTGAATCTGCACAGCATGGGAGAAACCCCCTGCTACCCTCCAAAGAAAGGAGAGCCATAGCCCAATAGGTGGACTGAGATTATGCCCTTTTAGCCCTGTTTCTTTATTTAAACACCCCACATTGGGTGCCAGAGAGATAATACAGGAAAAAACAAATGTAGGGTGTGAGGAGGGCCATGTCCCAGGTCTCAGCTGAGTCCCAATACCACAGTTTAGGAACCATTTCAAGAGGCTGAGGTGATAATCTGCATCTGCTAAACATGGTTATCATTACATTCAAAATATTTCTCCAGATTCAAGTGCATCTTTTTTGTTACAGAGGCGGGGTCGGAATGTATAGTTAGTAACAAAGCTGAAATCTCTGCTGTTAACTTCCCACAATGATGCATCATCTTATACAATAATATGAGATGTTGTCTTTTAAGATTTTGTAAAGCTAGTATAGATACCGAACGGATATATTAGGAGAAATTATACCATCATCACTTCTGCCGGTTGGCGACCCATCATCTTTTTAAAGACATATATGATCTTATTTTTTAAGCAATTCATGTCCAACTGGTTCTGTGCCACCGAAGCTATCTTGTCTACTACAAATATCAGTGTCTTTTTGATTAGGTACATAAGCAACCATTTTAAGAGTATCAAGATTGGCTTTATCATATCATATCCATTTATCATTAATTTATCTTTTACAAATTTCCATACCTCCTCTGTGAGTAATTCAGCCACCATACTTGTTAAACTTTCCACGGCCTTGTCCTTGATGAATAAAATAAGCGAATCCATGGTGAAAACGCGAGGAGGTCTTCTGGTGGTATGAGTGCAAGTTCTGAATTTACTCCTTTTACGGAAGACACGGGGCATGCGCATTTCACAGAGGAGTGGCCAATGATCATGCGACACATTATGGGGCAACACTTGACATATAAGGTTAGTTTCCTCTCACTTGTTTGACGGCCATGATGACTAGTCATAAATGCCTAAATATTGCGATGCAATGGGCCCTCCTTCCTGCAGTATTGGGGAAGTAGCACCCAGTACAGGAGCAACCAACCTCTCAACACCAACTAGTACCCAGGAGGGGAAGTGGACAGTGTCTTCAAAAGGCTTCATATATTAAGCAGAATTTGAAGTTGTTTTAATGCTGTGGTAGGCTGAATAAGGGTCCCCAAAGATACACACAGCCTAATCCCCATGACCTGTGAAAGTTACATTATGGGATCAAGGGGCTCTTGACCGTGTGATAAAGTTAAGGATCTTGACTTGGGGACATAATCCTGGGTTTTCAGGGTGAGAGATAAATGGAATCATAAGGGTCCCTATAAGGGGATTGGACAGAAAGAGATTTGAGTACAAGAAGAAAGAAGGTGATATGAGTCTGGACCAGGAGGCAAAAAGGTGATGCAGTGAGAGGCTATGAGCCAAGGAGTGAGGAGAGCCTCCAGGAGCTGGAAAAGACAAGGAATCTGATTGTCACCAAGAGCACTGGGAGGGAACATGTTCCTGCAGACATTCTGATTTCGGCCCAGAGAAACGCATTGGAGATCTCAAGACTGCTGACTGTTAGAGAATAAATCTATACTGCAAATCTGCTAAGTTTGTGGTAGTTTGTCATAGCAGCCAAACATTCTATCAGAAATAATATTTACATCAGCCCCAGAATGTAAATTTCTAAAAACATCAGCAATAAGACCAAAATTGTTTGTTTTTTCAAATCTTCTTTTTTTTTTTAACCAGATAAACACTAGTATGTATTTTTATTTTTAACAACAGGGCCTCAGCATTACACTTTTAAGAAAAGAAAAATCTGGACTGTACAGCCTAGGACTTGTAAACAGTATTTCATAAGTGGTTGGGAGGAAATCTGAAACCCAGCCAGAGGGAAGTGACCATGAAGGAGGAAGCCTAAGATTAACAGTTTAGGCACAGCTCTAAGAGCAGGGATCAAATGCTTGGGCATTGACTGAGGTCCAGTGCACTCCTGGAGGAAAAACCCCTGGCAAGATGGTCTGCCGGTGGAAGCTGGGACTTTTTAAGGCACATAAGGCAGGGATTCCTAGGAAAAGGAAAGTTCAGTTCAGCATGTCCAGAGCTAGTGAAATTGGATGTAAGGGGCAGGGGACTATACTTCCTAGGTCCAGGATGAGAGGGGAAGTATTGCTAGGAAATTGTATTAGGGTTCTCCAGAGAAATAAATCAGAGTGCGTGTGTGTACGTATATGTATACATACGTATACATGCACACGTCAAGAGATTGAAGGAATTGAGAAGACTTGTGAAGCCGTCTCCAAGCTGGAGACCCAGGAAAGTGAGTGCTGTAGTTCTAGTCCAAGCACAAAGTCCTGAGAACAGCGCAGCCAGTGGTGTAAGTCCCACGGTGAGGGTGGGAGAAGGCTGATGTCCCCACTCAAGCTGTCAGGCACAGAGAGTGAGCTCTCCTTTCCATCCACTCTGTGTTCTACTCAGGCTGCTCACCTGATGGGATGGGGCCCACTGGGGAGGGCGGTCTGCTTTGCTCAGCCTACAGATTCAAACGCTCATTCACCTGGAAACACCCTCACCGACACATCCAGATAATGTTTAACCAAATATCAGGGCACCTTAAGATGGCCTAGTCAAGTTGGCATGTAAAATTAACCATCACAGAAATAAAGCCCTTTTTTGTTGTTTAAAAAAATCTTTTAATTTTCAAAAAGTTATTTTAAGAGAAAGGTTATTTACAGACAAGTTACTTGTGTCAGATCTATGGATTGCTTTGGGTAGTGTGGCCATTTTGATAGTGTTAATTCTTCCAATACAAGAGCACAAGAAATCTTTCCATTTCTTTGTGTCATTTTGGTTTTCAGAGTATAGGTAAACTCCTTGGTTAAGTTTATTTTTAGGTATTTTGTTGTTTTTGATGTAATGGAAATGTCTCTGCCAGTTATAAAATTCTGGTTTTTGAAGTGAAAAAAAAAGTAAATGAAGGGCCGCAAAGGGCAAAATATCCTTCTTTCTTATGGGTGAGCTGTATTCCATCACATATATATGTATGCTGCATCTTCACTACCTATTCAACTATTTATGTGCACTTAGGATGCTTCCATATCTTGGCAATTATAAATAATGTTGCTGTTAATAGCAGGGTGTATATATCTTTTTGAGTTAATTCTTATTTTGTGGATGCCTTTATTTCCTTGATAAATATGTAAGTTTAAAAAGCTAAAGCTCTAGATTGTACTGTGTAGCACAGGGAAATACATACAGGATCTTGTGGTGGCTCATAATGAAAGAAAATGTGATAATAAATATATGCATGTTCATATATAACTGAAATATTGTGCTCTACACTGGAATTTGACACAACACTGTAAACTGACTATAACTCAATATAAAAAATGTTTAAAAAATAAATAAAAAGCTAAACTCTAAACATTCTTAGAAATAATGAACAGTGCATATATGTAAATTTAAAAATATATGTGCAGTAAAAAAAAAAAAGATCTATCAAGCCATGAAAGACATGGAAGAAACGTAAAAGACATATTACTAAATGAAAGAAGCCAGTCTGAAAAGGCTACAAACTGTACAATTCCAATCAAATGACATTCTGGAAAAGGTACAGCTATAGAAAAAACAGAAAAATCATGGTTTCCAGGGGTTTGGGGAGAGGGAGGGAGGGAGGGAGGAATGAATAGATGGAGCACAAGAGGTTTTTAGGACAATGAAATTATTCTGTATGATACTTACAGTGGTGGCTACATGTCATTATACATTTGTCAAAACCCACAGAATGTACAACATCAAGAGTGAACCCTAATGTAAAATGTGGACTTTGGTTGATAATAATGTGCCCATGTTGGTCCATCGATTGTATCAAATATGCCACATTGATGAAGGATGCTGAGAGTAGGGGAGAATATATGTGTGTGGGGGAGGGCTATATGTGAACTCTCTGTATTTTCTGCTCAATTCTGCTGTGAACCTAAAACTGCTCTAAAAGGATAAACTCTATTTTTAAAAAAGAGAGAAAGTTATTTACAGGCAAGTTACTTCCAGTGTTAACTATTAAAACCTTTTACTGTTGGGCATAGATAGATCAGCAGCAGTCTGCATATACAACAGAGCCACAATAGCATGACATTCATGGTCTCAGGCTCTCTTCCAATATACCCAAGGGATCTGGACAACCTGCAGAACATTCCATCCATCCCAGTCCATTATGTTGATGACAACAAGATAACTAGACCTGAGAGCAAGAAATGGCAAGTATTCGGATTGTCTAGTAAGACACAGGTGTTCCAAAGTGTGGAAGAGGAATCCTTCTAATATTGATAATCAGTGACAATGAGTATCAGAGGTGACTATGACATCCATTGGGGAGAATGATGCCAATGACAAGGTCAGCCCTAGTTACCAGCAATTTAAGCAATAAGTGAGAGTTCCATGGTCTGTAGAGCATCCTCATCTGTGACCATTCAGGGAAGCTCTTAGGGTCCAAAAGTCTAGGGGGTGCTGGACCACCCTCCAGAGTAAAGGACAAGTTACTGCACCTGTACCTCCGTATAATCCATGTAAGAGGAAGACTGGTACTTTGTGGGGCTTCTGGCAGAACCTAATGAGAGAATTATATGCAGCAGGGACATAGCTTTACAGCAGTAGCAAAACAGCTCCTGATCTGCTCCTTAGTCTGGGGAGACAGTGCCTGATGTGTGATGTAATGTGACCAGGTAGCCAGAACCTGTCATCATGACCTGGGTTCTATCACACTCACCAACGTAACGTCAGATGGGGAGAGCAGCATTCATCGCAAATGGAAGTGGTACATCCTGGGTTAGACAAGGATAGGTGGCCCAGACCATTGGCACCTACCACTCCGGCACTGACATATGTACACAGCTTTCATCTGTGCACTCATGGGATGGTCATTCTGACTAGTCAACAAAAAAAGAAAAGGCTCCACTCCCTTCAAGATCATTCCAGCCCATCTTCTCTATTTCCCCCTCTCCCTGTCCCAAGGCTCCTATTCAACCTTACTTGTTGGTACACAATTGGCTTTGTGGACCAAACTGAAGGAGATCTTGAGAAAGATCTGTTGCTTTTCTGTAGCACTCCCACAGGATGCTGAAAATGTCTGAACGCAAACCAGGCTTTAAAAGAAAGTTGCATTCATCAACTTGGTCAAGGGTTGACACTGTAAAACTTTCCCACTAAGTCTGCAAACTGCTAGTCATGGACTTTGCTTCCTCCCCAGCCCTGTCCCACATTCACCACCCTCCCTCCAGCTGCAATCCCAGGTGCCTTTTCTATTCTGGCCACACTCTGACTCCTTCTGGATGTGTATCCTCAGTGCCCTCAGCTCAAGTCTTGTGTGTTTATTGTGTCCGCTATAGCTCCCAACACCTCAGACACAGCAGTTGGGTGTTTTCGGCATCTTGTTCATAACTCATCCCAACTGTGTGAGTCTGCAGTTATTTTTAGCCCCTTATGGTTTCTTTGTATTCTGTTGTCCCAGCCTGTGCAAACACTGTGGCAAGAGATCTCAGGCCTTGTCTTAGGCCTTGGCCTGCATAAAATGTCAAAAGCATATATCAACCTGACTTTAAACTGCACAAGTTTTTCTCTAGAGCACTTTTCCCACAGACCTCTTTCCTAAGCATCTTTGTTCTAGGCACAAGAATATTAGGAGAGTTCTAAAGCTGGAAGTGAACTTCATACCCAGTAAAAGAAAGGGAACTTCTTCATCTACAAAAACAAGGACAACTTTGCAACAAGTTGTTACCCTGTATGTGATCGCTATGGAAATCATTGCCACCCCTTGAACCCTTGC